AAAATAAAAAGTAGGAAAATGTTTTGATAGGGCTGCAGCCCTATCAAAATAAGTAAAGCCTCACCACAAAACTCACCGAAAATTGTAGTTTTGGCATTGGAAAACCTTCAAGTCCATCATCTCAGCCTTGACCATTATTATTGTGAAAAACAATTAGGATTTCAAGCCCTAAAAATAGTGTAAATTATAACACATTATCTAAACCATCTATTTAGCCTTAAAAAAAGGTGTTTATAGATCCACACGATTTGTACCATTTTTTGAGCTTTAAGTTTCACAGCAGTGTTAGAAATTGATTTTAGAGCCATCATGGAGATTTTAATGACCAGCCTGCTTTCTAGATTGGGATTCAAGGTGAACCTTTCCTTTGTTTTCATGAAGCCTAGGCCTTATAGAAACTGCATCCTAAAACGAAAAGAAGGCGGTGATTAAAAGGGTTACCCCGAATACAAGTCTGCCAGCCATAAAATATCAAATGTATTTACAAAGAAAATTCCAAAACTCATGAAACTTCTGTCACAGACGTAAAGGCTTGGGTAAAACTATTGGCGTCTATCTTGAGTCCAAATTTGACTATAAACATGTTTTTCAATCCCAAATAACATTTAATGAATGAGCAGGACGGCAATAAGAAATTAACGGGACACACAAGCTTGATACTCTTTTGATTCTAAACTTCTTGAGAGTACTAAAATGCTCAAAAACCAGAATCATTATCAGTTTGATGTGATTGAGGTACCTACAAGTGGTAATTTTCGAAAAGGTTATGTTGATGATGATGATTAGGGATGTGTAAATGCATGCATGGATGCATACATGCACGTGTATTTGTGTCACTTAAATTATAGTTTTAAGAATACAATATAATCAAGGAGAATCTATTATTTTAAAATATAAAACCAATCAATATTTTGCCAATTTCAAGGGAAAATTGAAGAAAATAGAGAAAAAAGACATAATGTATTGAAATACGCTGCACCCACAAATACATGTGAAAGCACATACTAAACTTAGTTTTCAGCTTTGCTTTGTGCATGGTTTCATGATATCCTAATTATGTAAATGGTTGAGCCTTTGTGTGACATGAAATGGTGGTTGTCAATGTTATGGCCATTGTGTTTTTGGTGCCCCTGTAATGAACTAAAGGCTTCCTTTCTCATATTGTCAGTAGGAAATACTTGACCAAGTTTAATTTTCATCACACGCTTCTTTTTATTGCTTTCAATGGAGACTTTGGTGTAGTGAATTTGCTTAAAGGAACAATTCCACCCCCTCCTCTTTTTCAATTCAGGTCATTATTGTAAATTCCAACTATTGGACTTCAAAAGCGTTGCTTATGCTGGAAGGATCCACCTTCTTTTCTGGTTTTTGTGTGGTTTTTTGGCTTAAGATTTTGTTATTTTATTGATTTGCAAATACCTATGATATCTGTGTCTAAAAAGAAATAATGGGAAAGAAGAGTTTTTATCTCTGAGCCAAAAGAGATACCAAAAAAAAAAAGAAAAAAGAAAATAGCATTTCTAATTTCTCTTATCGATGAACATTTAAACAAGCTTTTTTGTGCTCTTTCAGATAATGAGTACTTTCCTACATAAAGAGTACCAAGGTCCCGGAACTCTCTTGGTCATCCCCTTCATAGACATGGCAGATACTGTGAAGGAGAGAGCGCTGCCTGGGGGTCCAGAAGCTGCTCGGGCTGCAGTTGTGTGGGCCCAGGAACATGTGGACAAGGATTGGAATAAATGGACTGGATCTGATTAAATTGAAGTAGTCAATTTATTCTTGTCCTTTAATTATAGGTTACTCCTCCTCTCCTAAGTTTTAAGACTCATTTCTATACGAGTTTTTATGTTGCAGTAACTGTATTATTATCTTAGTAATTAGAATCTTCTGTTCAGTGTTTGCACTTTGCAGAAGCGGGAGATGAAGCAGGAGAGTTGTAATCTCAAATACGAAGTACATTAAAACCATTGCTGGTAATTGATCTCTGATTTTTTTGGTTCTAGATGTTTACCTTTTCGAAGATGCAAGAATTTCCTAGTAGTCAGGAGAAGGAAAGGATGTTTTCATATGAATTTTGTAGCAAATGAGGTTATGACTCTTGTAACTGTATTCATATGATTTCCTATGAATTTTGTAGCAGATGAGGTGATGACTCTTGTAACTGTATTCATATATTTATGATTCAATATTTCTTGCCAACTATTTCAGAACACATACATGCCTGGGAACTTTTGCCTATTTATCATGGCATACTCATCATTGGATTTCTTCATGATGTTAAACTTCTGCAGCTCTTTTCCCATTTATTTTGACTGTTGTTATCACATGTCCAAGGTTTTCATATGTTTATAGATCTGCTTGATTTGAACTGTTTTTTTAGTTTAAAATCTCATAATTAGGGATAGAAAATAGATTCTGACACCATAAGAATTTTTGATACCAAAGTTACATCTCATTACAAAGTTTCGAGGTGCACCTTACTTTGACGCTTTAATGTTGCAACATTATGCAAACCACACCTTTTTTAAAATTATGACATTATAATAGATTTTTTTGTAAATTTCCCTTATTTTTATAACTTTTTTTACTATTTTTCTAAAAATGGATTCTTCCAAAGCTAGAAACATGTGCCACTTCTTCCAAGAATTTTTTTTTTCTTTTTTTTTTTTTTTTTTTTTAATTTTTAATGTTAACATTTTAGGATATCAACCTTATATCAGCTTTTTCCTTCTAAAATAACCCATCTATATACAAGTTGTGCTACTATTTTGCATAGGGCAAGCTTTATATGCCTCCTGTACAGCATAAAACTTATATGCTTTCCCTTATACAACCGTCCATTATGAATGGACAACTGAGATGACCCCAATCACAATGTCACGTCTCTACACCTATTTTTATTTTTATTTTTTTTAGAAATTATTTTGACACCAAAGGTTGGG